GTTGTTTTGCCCTCCAAGTCACCGTGCATGTGACGTGACTGAAAACTATGAGTTGGATGAATCCGCTTCGCTTCGGGCCGAACAACGCCCCTTAACTGTGATATAAGCATATATAATGTGATATAAGCGTATACCACGGCCTGTCATGAGCTATTGCTTTTATAAAACGGTTACCAAGTATGGCAAAAAGAAAGTAGGTTAAGAGACGCCCTACAATTTGACTTTATTTCATCAACAGATATTTCTTTATGAATGCAAAAAGTAATCCGACCAGGCTGCTGATAGGCTACATAGCGCATGACGGTTACTAAGCAAATACATCAATGGCTAGAATTATGGTGCGTTCCAGTTGACATGGGAAGTCGGAATTTCCAAATTCAAAGGTCAAAATTTCAAAGGGAACGCCCCCTTAAGTCAGAATCCCGACTTGGGAAGTCGGGAGAACCGCACTACCCCAACTTCGTGATCCAAGATGGCTGTCGGGGTATCAACAGTTAGTGAAAGCTGTAGTTTATACTGTTTATTAGCACTTCTGTGTACTTGTGACTCATATAAATGTTTGTACACAAAGTGCTGTCCAACAGCTGTCTGTGGACGTGTTGGTACAGTGTTTAGTGTGAGTAAATAACGCAGAATGTGTTTTTTTAATCAACCGGCGTATCAATAGCGTCGTCAACTCGGGTGTGACGTCATTCCCAGCTCCGACCTCCAACTTCCGAGGTAAATGGAACGCAGCATTATTAGCACTATTTATTTAAATCTATTTGCACGTTGCCATTTTTTGTGCAGCCACTAAAAAACTGTCCACCGGCAGGAGACTGACTTTGGTAACTTGAACTTGGCCATATAATAATGTGCTTGCTACTGGGTGCCGGCAGCCAGCAGTGCATAAAATAATAACGCTTTAATATTATACCTACCATAAAGGGAGGAATTGCGTCTCTCCTTGAGCAATAGTCTTTGAACAGGCTATTGAAACTGTGCGAAGGAATTCAACATCATACCCATTGTATACGCTCATTATATCACTACTATATAGTACAAAACATGTGTATGATCATGTCCCAGCTCCACATGGAGCTTAGGGTTCATTATGTTCGATGCAATGGTACTCGTAACTATGAGTTGCAAAGAGGCATGATGAAACAAACAGTGGGGAATAACTTTTGAGGGGGGACAGTGGTGTACTAGCCTCATCCCACTGTCAGATGTTGTTGCAGCTGCCTCTGAAGCCTGGCACGCTCTGCCTTGAGCCGCGAAATGTTCAAGAAGCGTCTGTGAGAAGATGAATCGAAGAGAGAGGGACAGGGGTCTTGGCAGGACTCTCGCTGTGGAGAGCAACCTGGCTTTGCATTGTTGTTCAATTGTTACGGACTGCCGCTTTAAATCAATAAGAAAATCTCATCAATAACAAAAGACGTCTTTGAGAAAAGCTTGAGAAGTAATAATTAGCTGATTAGCACTAGGAAACCAACCTGAACTTAACCCTAGATGTGGTGCTAATTAGGAGAGTTTCAGGAGCGGGACCACACATCAAGCACGTCATCTGCAGCATTTCCATAAATACCCACACGTCCTAAGTCCTCCCCTTCGCCCTCGTGCATGGCCCTCGCATTCCGCAGACGAACCGAGACCAAGCAACATCGTGTCGAGCACGCTACGCTAACATCCAATAACGTGAATTATTACCAGCTACTTCCATCCGCTTACCTCTTCGAGAAGTGTCGGCACATCGCTATCCCCATCGGACACTGAATTATTCGGACGGACTCGAGACATCTTCCATGTTCACGTCAGCAGACCCAGCACAAGAAGCCGAATTCTCTCCTCCGTCTCCACGCTTGAGACCCCGCTTTCTACAATCCTAAAGTTGGCCAGGGAGCGGGTGAGTCCAGCCTTAATGCCATCCGCCTTCCACGGTCCACTTTCCTCAACAGTCAGAAACATTGCACCCGAAGAATCCCCTGCCTCTCATCAAACAGCTGATCACAGCGTTTCCATGCGCCAGCGAGGTCCCGGGTCACACAGTCTTCACGAACAATCAAGACACGAACTATAGCCACTCTTCAGAAAACGGTTATAAATGTAATAATTCTGATTTAGAGAACAGACAATACAGCAAACCTTTCAAGCTATCATGTCTGCGTGCCATGCATTCAGTTCCGTCAACACCAGCTCCTTTCCAGGTGGCGCATTACGCACTCCGTGACGTCAGGGCCATTGCTATCTCAAGATAGCAGAGAAGTCGGTACCAAAGCAAACCAGGACGTCAACCAACACCAGAATTCCAACCCTCCACCTCTCATCGGGGTTGACCACACCAGCAGCCTACATCACACAGGACAACCACATCGAGTCGTCAGCACCCCGCCATCCAGCTCCCGAAGCTTCAGGTACTCAGCACTGGAATATGCCAGCTCCCCAGCCGTCTACATCTACCAACCACAGCAGCAGGCTTCCTTCGGCACTGGGACACCAGTGCCACAGCTGGACACTTCCAGCAGCTACAGCAGCCACTTCCATAGAGGGCCCCAGCACCGAGATGCTAGCGCCCAGTCGTACACCTCGAACAACCTCAGCAGCCTCAGTAGGGGCATTAGGCACCGGGATGCCCACCGTCTGCTCCCATCAACCACTAACCTGACCGCACCAAATGGTCCATTACACAGAACCATCCGAAAAGTCATTGACGGAAACCGTTTCAAAGGACAGGAACTTCATGCCGTTCTTCGCTTATCTTTCAATAGCAATCTCCAGTTCTGTTATAATTGATGCTGGCAGCATACAAGCTAACCACTCAAGTACAGTTGTTTCGAGTTCTTAATCATTACGAGCGAAGTCATTTCAAGCTAACAGCTATTTCAAGCTAACTTCAAGCTAACTAATAGTCGTTTCAAGCTAATTTCGAGCTACAAGCCATTTCAAACTAACTTCAAGCTAACAGCCATTTCGCGTTTACTTCGAGCTAGCTAACAGCCATTTCTTGCTTACTTCGAGCTGACAGTTGCGTCGCACTGACTTCGTTCGGTTTCATTTCACTGCATCTCATGCCCGCAATTGAGTCATTCCTCAAACAACACTGCTTTCTACCAAGCGATCCGAAGTCCAGACAATCGGGCCAGCTTACTTTCATCTTTTCTTCCAAGTCTAGTCATCTCTGAACCCTCTAAGACCCTCGTGAACTATAGGGAATCTGGCGCACCACCATGCGAGATCATCTGAAACCGGTCTAGTAGCTACTCAATTCTGGTTCTACCAGCAGCTCCGCCAAAGGTACTCTTTCACAAGGTATTCTCCCATCCATTACTTCGGTCAGGCCTCCAGGATCTAAGCTAACATTCAGGCTACCGCGGCGTCATTCCCGAGCATCCGATACAGATCATGCACACCAGTCTTATAAAGCGTACCACCACTACACTAAGATCTCGAGATCCCAGATCACCCAATGTTCTCTCAAATAACTAAACAACGCTTTCTAATGTCTATTCATCTACTGCAAACTTCATACATCTTCTGTTCGTTACTCAATAAATCATTTAATCATACCTGTTGATTGTGGTCCTTGCTAGTGAAACTGGTACTAATCGTTCCATTACTGATGGATAGAAGAATGAATGTTTGTCTTTGACAATGGCAAAATGCATGCTTGGTATTTTGTGCTCATAAATTGTTGCAGTTTATTCTGGAGAGTGGTAGCTTGTCTACTTTATTGGATTTCTGGCCCTAGATATACATATAGCTCCCAAAATGAATGGAAAATACACCCTTGCTTGTCAGCAAAATCAAGACATTTGTTGTTGTATTTTAAGAAATAACATAATGCAGAAAGGATTTGCTTACCATTTCCATTTGATGACAAACAGTGCAGTATTTATAAAGCAGTTGCATCTGAAATTCTATAATTATCATTTGAATTGCTGTAGTAATTGAGTAATGCAACACAAAAAATAATTTTAATAAAGTTTTTAGAATGAATGTTTATTCTCTCTTCTCATCCTAGTTGTTTTCAGTGTCTTTATCAAAGTGTGATTTACATCCTGCGTCTTGAGACAATATACAATTGGATTAAATGCAAGAGGAAAAAGACAGTACACCAATATTAATAATATACGAGCATCTAAACTGAAAGAACATCCAATAGTATTAGCTGTATAGACAAAATATCTGGGAAGGTAAAAAAGGCAAGTGATACATATTTGTGGTGTACAAGGTTTTTACGCACCCTGCAGCACTGGACATTTTCAAAATCACCACAATAATGGAAACATAGGAAAACAAGATGAACGGAAGAGGAAGCAAAAAGCAACATATGGCCACACAGAGGGTAGTAACATGTAAAATTTTAACATCCTCACCACATGCCTGACTTGTTATAGAAAAGTGGTCACAGTAGCACTGAACAATGACATTTGATTTACAGTAAGGTAAAGTAAGGGTACAACAACAGCTACCATTAAAGGCAGTGGTATGAAGATATACATATGCATAGATACCGGAAAATCTATACTGTTAATTCTACACAACTGATTAATGTCATATATCAGCTTAAATGTAGTTTACCAAAAACGTTCATGTAATTTCTATCACTGGCTTAAGATTAATTACTAAGGTTGTGTTCAATACAAAATACAGACTAAGCCATGCTGTTAAGTGTACACAACTAATTAATGCCACATATCAGCTTAAATGTAGTTTACCAAAAACTTAGCAAAATGGGTAAAGATCATGTTTCAAAATGTTTTGCCTTTCCAACCTTGCCTGCGCGATGATGCTTTTCAGTGCACAAGATAGAACTTGATATTAGATGGCAGTTTGCCATGACTGTTTCCTGTGACTTAAAGGGACAGAAAAGGAAAAAAGGCCAAGTCTGAAATTTGGAGAAATGATTGCTGGGGGAAAGCAACAATTGTAGTTGGAGTGTAAGTGTAAAGCCCAAATTGTGAAGGTAGTTTCTTGTCACAAAGCAAATCCTGATGTTGACTTATCGTGTACATTCTGTCTCATATGACAGCTTTAGAGAAATAAGAAAGTTTTATCTCTATTCCAATTTTAGTTTTTTTCAGCCTCTTTATCAATGTTTGCTTCATGTCTTGAGTCTTGAAACAATATATGACAGGATTAACAGCAGCAGGAAAAAGACTGTAAAACAATATCAATAAAATCCGAACATCTAAACTGAAAGAAAATCCAACAGTATTAGCTACATAAACAAAACATCTGGGAAGGTAAAAAAGACATGTGATAAATATTTGTGGGGTACAAGTTGATAAAAATTTTTTGCGCCCTACAACACTGGACATTTTCAAAATCACCACAATAATGGAAACATAAGAAAACAAGATGAATGCAAGAGGAAGCAAAAGACAAAACATGGCCACACAGAGGGCAGTGACCTGCAAAATTTTAACATCCTCACCACATGCCTGACTTGTTATAGAAAAGTGGTCACAGTAGCACTGAGCAATGACATTTGATTTACAGTAAGGTAAAGTGAGGGCATGGAGTACAACAGCTACCATTAAAGGCAGTGGTATGAACCAAGCAAACCCACACAGCACAGACATGGTGTTGTTTGTGATTAGGACAGGATAACGCAATGGAATACATATTGCAATAAATCGATCTACAGTCATTACCAACAAGATGAAAGAAGTCACTGATCCTAAATAATGAACAAAGAACATCTGTGTAAAGCACCAATAAAATGAAATGATGCCATCACCAAACCAATATTTTGATATGATCTTCGGGAGAGTCACAGTGCCAAATGTTAAGTCATTCAGTGCCAGGTGACAAAAGACCAGGTATGTTGGTTTTTGAAGTGATTTCTGACAGATCACAAATGCCAAAATAAAAATATTCCCTACTGCAATAGATAGGTAGAAGAAAAAGAACATAGCTGACACAGGTCCATAATACTGTGGTGAAAGTCCAGGGAATCCAAGGATGAAGAAACTTCTCATCCCTGTGACATTGGTGTAGATCATTATAACCTATTTCACAATCAGCACAGACAAAGACAAAGAAAGCCCTGACAGTGTAAGTAAAAATTAATTAGGTGCAGCATATCAAAAGTATTATTTAACATAACAATATGCATGACAAGTATTAGTCTTTTAATTGAGAAAATTAATCAATGTAATTATTTCAAACATTTTACAAAGTTGTCATGACAAGCACAAACCATGCAAGTTAAAGCTTGTCTAATGTGAAGGTTTGCTTGCTTTTGTCTGTTTGTTATGGTTGTAAATTGAAATAGTTTTTTGGTCAGAAAAAGTAAACAATTTTGACACATTGATGTGGGCTCCGGTAACTTGTCATTGGCAAAAGCATTTGTCATGAATTGTATTACTTTCCTCACATGTATTGACAAAAGCATGTAAAGTTAGTTTTTTAACATTCAAACCCACTGGTTATGTGACTATTATATAAACTGGCACAAAGACAGTTTAAGATACTTATTGTGTTTTTTCCATTCAGAGTCCAAGCAAGAGTCTTACCGTTCAGATGTAAGCCAACAATTAGCTGAGTATAGTGCCTGGGTGACAGCTAATATCTGCCCCCTGTGATGTCATGCCATGCCTCAGAGGGTCATATTCTCAAATGTATCTCGAAAGTTCCCAAATAGCATAGTGGTATCGACTTTCTTAATATGATCATCAAATAACTGGCATGAAGATTATAATTAACAATTTACATTAATATAAAAATGAACAAAAATAGATTTATAATATATTATATTAACCCCAGACACGGTGTTGTTTGTGATTAGGACAGGATAATGCAATGGAATACATATTGCAATAAATCGATCAAGAGCCATTACCAACAAGATGAAAGAAGTCACTGATCCTAAATAATGAACAAAGAACATCTGTGTAAAGCACCAATAAAATGAAATGATGCCATCACCAAACCAATATTTTGATATGATCTTTGGGAGAGTCACAGTGCCAAATGTTAAGTCATTCAGTGCCAGGTGACAAAAGACCAGATATGTTGGTTTTTGCAGGGACTTCTCATAGATAACAAATGCTATAATGAAAATATTTCCTATTGCAATACCCAGGTAGATTAAAAACAGCAGAGCTGACACATGTCCATAATAATGTGGTGGAAGTCCAGGAAATCCAAGGATAAAGAAGCTTTTCATCCTTGTAAAATTGGTAATCATAATTCGAGTTTACATAAAGAATTTATCAGAACCAAGATATGAAATAAATACCTGCAAAGTAAAAGCACTTGATTGGACAGTTAAAATATTAATTGCAGAATATACTGCTAACAAACCACATTATTTAACAGAGATATCCAAAGCCCAAAAGCTCAAAATGATGCACTTATGCAAAAAAGTATGTTAAGTGTGACGCACTTCCATGGTACAGACTGGAGTTCAGTATCCATAAACCCAATACAATGTGTGCATGCCAGGTAATAGCCTTTTATCGAGTTTGATTTGACATATCCTCAAAGGATCATAATGTGAATCAGAGAGTCATGTTTGTGAGTTCAAGTACAAGACACCAACTTATACTTTTTAAACTTTTTTGAAAGCTTAGATTAAACTTATCAATAATCACTATTAATTAAGAAAAACAAAAACAAATTAGACCAATTAATAAAAATGATATAAAGCACACCCAAACACCCTTTTTTTATTGTGCCTGTAGTTTAAGGCTCTATGTCATTCAAAAGAAACCCTTCATCTTTTCAAGCTAGCCTTGGCCAGAAAATGTATTTCCACTAGGGCTGGGCAAGTTAACGCATTATTATCACATTAATGCATTAATTAATTAGCACCAACAATTATTTTATCTCATGTTAACACCGTTTTTATTATTATTATTATTATAATTTAATAATAAGTCCATTGCTCACTGGCTCTGAATACACATACAGTCAAACCATGGGTCAAATGAGGGGTGAGATGTTGATCAGCCAGCAAATCACCCACCCAAACAAGCAGTGGAGGGAGGCTTTGGCAGACTAAGTTGGATGCAGCATGTGGGAGAAGTAGATAAACAAAAGCAAGACAAGCGAACAAATGCCATAGCGAAGTGGATAGCTACACACTGCATGATGATTAGTATTGTGGAAGATTTTGTTCTTAGGAGAACAGACAGGAAGACAAGTACAGCAGGAGTTCTATCTATAGTAACCATGGCAACGGCTTCTGTGCACTACACAGCAGTAGCCTATTTAACTTAAGTTAAAATTATAGGCTACATAACTTTACCTGATAGGCCTACATCTAGTTTTGTGGGGATGGTCTGCCATGCAAATTCCCTCCTGCTGATGTCTTGATAACCATTTAGTAAACAGTAATAGATTCTGGAAACTCACAAACAGCAATGATCAATCTCTCTTCCAATGATTTGTGCTCCGTGTCGCCTACAAAAGGTTCAAGAGAATTCAACTTCGACCCAGTATGCAGGATAAGTGGTTGACGATGGATGGACGGGAAAAGGGAATACTGCTGGTAAAAAGCACCGTATTAGTTTAAAGTGTTTGCAAACCACGTTATTCCACATGTTATATATAGCAGCAAAAGTGCGCAATACACTACTTTAGAATTCAGTATTAGATTGATCGATTTTAAAAATGTGATTATTCGTGATTACTCGCAGTAAATCATGAGATTAATCACAATTTAAAAATTTTATCGTTGCCCAGCCCTAATTTCCACAAAGGCTACCTTCTAAAAATTATGTTCATATACAACTACTTTGCATTTGCAAATACATTTTGTAACAAATGCTAGGATGATGCTGGGATTACACTTCAACATAATGAGATGATCGTATTGAATCTCAGTCAGTGTTTTACATGTTTTCTCCTACAATCTTCATGCATGCTAACTAAAGCATGATTAATGTTTTATAGTTACAAAATTGCAACTCAAAGCTTCTAGTTAAGGTTAGAGATTGACTGTGACCTTGGATAAATCTTGAAAAATGCATCACTTACTTGAAGCAAATCACAGGATGCATCAATTTTTATTTAATCAGAACCACGACCTTTCTCTATCCTTAACCAGGTACCAATACAGGGAGGATACAAATGTCATAGTATCTAATAAAATCAGAATCAGCTTTTACTGCCAGGTATGTGTACACATAAGAGAAATCTGACTCTGGATCATACAATGCTCATGCTCATGATGTGCTTACTTGTACAATAATACAATAACACAATAATACAGTAATAAAATCAAACACAGGTTACAGTATAGAGAACATATACACACACTATAAACAAAAACAAAATAGATAGATAAGCAAGAGAGGGTTCATTTCAGGCAAATAAGTTGGCTTTCTAAAAAGTTAAATAATAATTTGGCTTTCTAAAAAGCTGAAGCATTATATTGGGGTTTTCTGTCCATATTCTACAGTAAATGAGCATTACTAATGTAATAGATAGTAACATTTTATCACTTTTTCATTTTAATAAAGACAAACTAAATATTAATAGGATTTAACAACTGTGGCTCCCATGAGGATTTAATAGTCTGCCAATGGTGAAGGTACAATGTGTAATTCCTGGCCACATGCTCCAAACAAATATGTGGCAACATCTCACCTTGTTCAAGAATTGCATGATTTACTAATGGCAACAATGACGTTACAGCTTGCTTAGCTCAGTTTTAGCAAGACCATAGTAGGAGGAAAACAGCATCATCAAAAACATACTTTTAATCCATATGAAATGTTTTTTGGTACGGTTTGTGTTGTCTTTAGTTGCACTGCACAAGTATCTAACATTAGATGTTACCAGTCTAAAAGAGAGATTTTGCATTAAACCACATTTCTTTACTCGCTGAGAACCATCTTCAGCGATGGAAAGCAACACCAATATTTATTGTGTTTTGCTTCTTTTTAAAGCACTTTTTTTCTTTGCTACAAAATGTGGTTTCTTGCCAGTAGCAGGTGGTTGGGATGGTGATACAGGTCCCTTGCCATGAGCTTCAGCCATCTTTGTGTTTCTGTGACACTAATCGGGGCTATACATCCCTGGCTGTATATCTTCAAAGCCCTCAGGGCAGCTTTACTTTTACTCATTCCATATTTATATATTTCAACATTTATTTATGTTGACTGTATGTTTGTCTACGTGTAGCACCTTATCACCACAGCAAATTCCTCGTATGTGTAAAACACTACCTGGCAATAAAGTTCCTTCTGATTCTGATTGTGATTCTAAGGGTAGATTGGAAGCTGCAGATCAGTGCACACATTTATTTAGCAGAACAGCAAAGTGTGGTCACAAAACAGTTAAGCAGAAGAATGCAATTTCAATTACTCTAGAATGGAAGTGTTCTATTAGGACAAAAATTTACATTTGATATACAGAGACGTGATAAGAACTGAATGTACATACTGTAATCTTATACTGTATGCATTACTTTGAAACTTGCAGCTTCATCTAAATATCTAATATTTCTATGGTTCTGAAGCAATAGGTTTTGTATCGTTCCTGTGTATATGGTGTTCTCAAAACAACTACAAATATGGAAATATAGGGAAAATTATAAAAAAAAAAAAAGAAGAAGATAGAAGATAGAAGCATATAATATATATATATAAATAAATCTCCCAAGACTGACAGCAACAACCTGAACATATTTTACATTTTCACCATGTGCCAGGTTTGTAATTGAAATGTGGTCACCGTAGCATTGCAAATGATGTTAGAATTATAGTAATAAATTTCTCAATACATAACAACCCACAAGAAATAGAAATAATGTGGTTTGTAATTTGAACAGAATATTTTAAAGGAAGACAATCTACAATAAAATGATCAAGAGCCATAATCAACAGAGAATAGCTCCCAAGGATTGAACAAAATGCAGTACGAAGCAGGGAAAAATATATTATCTTGTCATCCCATCAATATCTGTATAGTTTTTGGTAATGTCACCATGTAAAGTGTGTATAAAATAGACATAGTTATAAGTTACAAGATGACCTTATGACTTTCCTGTGGT